CAAAGTGTGACTGGAGGACTAACTGCTTTACTGTAAGACTGCATATGAATTGTTGCCAAACCCTTCCATTCTTCTTTCCCTTACAAGCTATTCTCAGGATAATCAAGACTGTTCCAATTGTGCTATTAATATTGACTGTAAGTGCTTTAGATGGAATGCTACACAGTGGTATCCGGTTAACTAAAAAGTAAGATCTGTTTTTGTCTTCAGCTTCAACTGCTCAAAAATGAAAAGCAATTTGTCCTCTTCCTGTAAGAAAGGAACCTGTATTCTTAGAGCTAAGTCTTGTGCTAGTCCTTTAGTTCATGAATATCTATTAAAAGTTCTAATTTATTTATGCCTCTAAAGGGCCTTAACCCACAGACAAGGAAAAGTATCAAAGAACCATTAGCAGTTTTCATTGAACAAATCTCTTCCTTTCAAAGTGATGTCCCTCCTTATATATCTCAAGTGCTATATGTTAACTCACGTCTGATGCCTGATGCATCAATAGATTCTGGCTACACTTGAGATAGGAGCCATTGAGGTGCATGAAGGTGGATCTCACACTATTCGCCTGGAAGTAGACTACACATAGTTCTTGAGATGCTCTTAGCAGTTTATTGTGGAGATGTTCCCAGGTATATGTGTGCTTAGTGAATCTGCTTTGATTACTTTCATTTCCCAAAGGGGAAGGCTCAGTTCAAAACAATAATCATTCTCTGTGACTTAGTGACTTAGAACCTACTAACTAAATCTTACATTTTCCAATGGGTCTTTCTTCCTATTCTGATAGGATGGATGCCTATAACTCAAAGTGATTTTTTTTTTTTTAGAATTTAGTGTGAATAGAGATGCTGTTTGGTTTTTTTTTTTTAATTTATGAAAGAGTCTGAGGCCCAGAGCTTGTCTCATTCAATTTCAGAAGAATTCATACCATCCTATCATCACACATTCCCTCAAACCATGCCCCCCCTGAAATTCTCCCACTCCCCCTATCCCCCGCAAAATAATTCACTCTAAAGGGGTAGACAAATCTTAGCTGACAAGGTAAAGCAAGCTTACCATCTGTTAAAAGAGAACATTCCAGGAATACTTAGTGCCCCCAGGGAAAATAGGGTGAGCAAATGTTTGTCTCCTAACTGGAAAATCTCATCTGTTTCAGGGTTAGAATAATTACTTAGTCTAAACAGATGAACCTTGGGCTGGGCCCCAAAGGCACAGACATCAGCAGCCCCACCCCTTCTTCACTGCCACCATTCTTGAAAAACTGTAAGGAATGGAAAAATGATGGAATGGCACAACTGCAGATGCTGCTACTTCCCAGGGAAATTCAGAATATTTACTCTTACTTTTCAAACTTGTGAGTGTTTGTTTCCCTTGGAAATTAGTCAAACCCAAAGAGTCATTATCTGCCTCAGCAATGGTAGGAAAATCCAATTCTAAATTAAAATTTCTGAACTAACAGTGTTTGAAGACTTCTTGACATAGTTACCCCAAAGTAGGGGATAAGAGTGGTGGACACTTCAGGTTAATAACTCTGAACTTGATAAACTTGCTTATCTGCTAAGTTGTCTGATGATGACGTATAGAAGCAGATATAGGTGTCATACAAAATACTGCATAGTATAGATTTCATCAAATTGACAAAAGTGTGTTACAAATGCTTGATAAAGTCGCTCTACTCTTTTTACATGTGGTTTGTAACCATACTGGCAAATGAGAGAGCTATAATAGATAGAGTGCATCTGGAAGTCATCTAGGCATTTCACAAAGTTTCTCAGGAAAAGATAGAGAGCTATAGATTAGGTGGTACAGTAGGGTTGATTTAGAACTGATTCAAAGGCTAGACCCAAAGAATTATTGATTGATTGATGGAGGGATGTCATCTAGGGGAGTGGGCCTCTAATGGTGTGCCCCCAGTGATACGCTCTGCCTTTCTGTTCAATATTTTTATTAATCACTCAGATGAAGGCATAGATGGCATGTCAAATTTGTAGATGACCATGCTTGAACGGATAGCTAACACAGAATTCTGTGTTTACAGAATTCTGGGTGACAGAATCAAGACCCAAAAAGATCTCAACAGATTAGAACATTAGGCTGAATTTTGAAAAATTAAATCAAATGTAGACAAAGGTGAAGTCTTAGAATTGGGTTAAATCAACCAATAAATAAGCATTAACTAGGTGCTTATTATATGCCCAGTCACTCCGCTGAGGATTGGGGATACATATACAAAAGCAAAACAGATTCTGCCCTCAAAGAACTTACATTCAATTGAGAGATAAAATATGTAAACATATAAGTATGTGTAAGTTTACATATACATACACACATATGCAAATGAAAACAAAGTAGTTGGGATTAGGGAGGGAATCAGGAAGGGCTCCATGTAAAAGGTAGCCCCTGAATTGATTCTTCTTTTTTTTTTTTTGGTGAGGCAATTGGGGTTAAGTGATTTGCCTGGAGTCACACAGCTAGTAAGTGTCATGTGTCTGAGGCCGGAATTGAACTCAGGTCTTCCTGACTCCTAGACCGATGCTCTATCCACTGTGCCACCCGTCTACCCCCTTCAGTTGATTCATAAAGGAAAGAAAGGAGACTAAGAGACAAAGATGAAGAGAGGAGTATATTTCAGGCCTAGGGGGCAGCCAGAGCAAAGTTCAGAGGGGAGAGATGGAATGACCCGTGTGAGGAACAATAAACAGTTTGGGTAGACCATGTATAATGACGCTGGAAAAGTAGGTTGGGGCCAGGTTTTGAAGGGTTTTAAAAGTCAGGCAGGCATTTTTATTTTATCCTAAAGTCAGTAAGGAGCCATTGGAGTTCATTGAGTAAGAAGGTGATATGATCAGCCCTATGCTTTGGGAAAACCAGTCTGGAGGCTGGAGAGAGAATGGATTGGAGGGGGAAAGACTTGAGGTAAATTGGTAAGGAAGTCAACTATAAGGCTACTGCAATAGTCCAGTAGAGAGGTAATGAGGATATAAATTATCATGGTGGCTAGGGTGTGAATGGACAGGAGGGGTATGAAATGTAAAACAGGCAGCTCATGACATCAGCCTAGGTCTCAGCAGAGAAATTAGGGCTGTATATGTATATGTATATGTACACACACACATATATGCATGTATGTGTATGTGTGTAGAGAAGGACAGTCATGTGGAAAAAGAATTAGGCTTATTTTGTTTGCCCCAGAGGTCAGAACCAGGATCATTAGATAGGAGCTGTAGAAACATAGGTTTCAACTCAATAATAGGAAAAAACTTCCTAATGATTAGAATCATCCAAGGGAAAAATGGGCTGCATCAGGAGACACTGAGTTTCCCATCACTAGCAGAAGTTAGAAGACCACTTGCTAGAGACGTTATAAAAGAAATTCCTATTCAAATATAAGATGAGGTCTGAGGTCCCTTGTAATTAATTCTGAGATGCTGTAAATATGCTTTTAAAATTTTCACTTCAATCAAACACATATTTATTACTGTTGATCTGATCTACAATGAGACTCTGAGTCTGTGAAATATATATAAAATTTTGTGGATAGAAGGAATGATTCCATTTAATTCTTATTTGAGTCTGGGAGGTGGACTCTGTCCTATTATCATTTCTATCGTCAATGTAAGGTGACCCAGAACTAGTTATATGTAAGGCTTATAAATCTATGCTAATGATATTTCTTATGATCACGGTCATGGTGTCACCAGAACTTATGCTCTGAGAGGAAATGCAGACTAATGGAAAGAGAATTGGAACTGGGAAGAGAAGTTGTGAGATGCAGGTTCTGTCCTAGTACTGTCACAAATGAGGAACATGACCTTGGGCAAATCAGTTGACTTCTCTGTGACTTAGTTTTTCAGCTGCCAAACAAGATTGTTGGAAGGACCAAATAGACAATGTAAAGCAGGGGTGTCAAACTCAAATAGAAACATATCCCTGCAGGCTCCATATTCACTTAAAAAACTATAAATTCACATTATCTATATTGTATTGTGTTGTTTTTATTTAGTTTGTTAAACATTTCCAAATTACATTTCAATCTGGTTCAGCAGCACTAGGAGTTTTGGTGGACACCTCCTAAGTAAAGCACTTCAAAAAATAGAAAATGGTACATAAAATAAGCAATTACTATTTTTGTTATTGTCATATATGATTTGAAGGGTTATTTTTGTTATCATCATCATCATTACTATTATATTTGTACTATTTTCTGTGCTATACTTGGGCCTATATAATTATTGTTCCAAGAACCATTAATAAGATTCATTTATCTCTATCCACTCACCAATTCATTCATTTATTGTTTTTTATTCAGCACTCAACTCTACATCATTTAACTTGTGGCCATGTGGGTAAGTGGTCCACAGAGTAAGATAATCAGGAATGAGGATGTTTCAGTCATGTAAAGCTGATAGAGCAGCCTCCAAAAGTATCTTATTCACAGCATAGCATTTTGTCCACCTGCTTTCAGGAAGACTATCCCAAGGACTTGGGATGAAAATGACATACGTAGTCATTTCCCCTTGGTTTTGGCAAGGGTGACAATACCTATGTGCCACAGTAAGCATTAGCGTGCTTGGTAGCAGTGACAGTCTGTGTGCTAGAGGGACGAATGATAGATGGCAAATAGGGCACTGGGCCTGTGGCGATTCTCCGGCTTTCTTAAGATGTCAGTTGCTACACTTGAGTCTCTGGAAGTCTCATTGCTGACTGAAGAAGTGCTAGCACGTGTCTTTGGTACCAATCCAATAACTGGGGACTGGATTGATAGGTTTCAAGAGAAAATGAATCAGGCTGTTTTGTTCCACAACATCCCTGGCCTTTCCTTTTTGGAAAGGAAGGTGTGGAGAGGGAGCAGTGAAAGGAGGTGGGTTTGGGAGTAAGACTTTAGAAGTCTCCCCAGTCTTTTCCTTTCAGGAAACACATCCTGTTAGTGTCTGGCTGCTGTGGCAGTGCCTCTGTTTGTTGCGATTGGCTACGCCCTCTAGCTCACCAAAAACAGCCTCAAAAACAACCATTTCCTTTTTGCTGAAAGACAGGGGGAAAAGACCATATGCACACTTCCCTGCAGCCGAATCCCTACTTTTCAGTATCTGCTCCTGGCTGCTGGGACACTGGGCAAGAAGCCCGGGCAGGGAGAGCTTTAGCCACTCAAAGCCCATGTCCTTGCTTCATTACACTCCTGCTCTGGGGTGTGCGCTTTAACTACTACCAGTTTTATTTATCCGGTTAAAGTGGATCAGGGTCGTGTAGTATTGGAAAAGGAGTTTCCAATCTGCTTTTCTGCCTCTGAAGAGATCCCCTGTTTCCTGTATTTCCTGCACTGTGGAAGACCGAGACATTTGGCTAACGCATATTTGATACTCTTTCCCCCCAGGAAGACCATAAGCTCAAGATTCTGGATCCACTGTGGGGGCACCTTGGTCTTCAAGGGATGGGCCTTTCTGCAGCCTGGTTCAGCACAGGACTGGCACTACTCAAAGTGCAGGCGGGAGGATAAGGCTGCGTCGCCAGAACGGTCCTACACCCTGGACTTCTTCTATGGAATATTCCCATTTACCTCAGAATGTGCTAATTTGCCTGGTTGGAGTTGACTTGGAAGCTGACTTTGAGAATGAACGGTGATGTTCTCTAGCCACCCCTAACACTATCTGGTGGCTCTTTCACTTCCAGTTCTTTTTCAATGTGCCACAGCTGGCCGAGCCCTTGGATCTTCTGCAAATAGACTGAGGGTAACTGACTGTCAGATATGACTGTCCAGAAACTGGTGGCCACAGCTGTATTAGTGGCCCTAGTCTCACTAATTCTCAATAATGCAGCAGCCTTCACTCCCAACTGGGTGTACCAGACCCTGGAGGATGGGCGCAAGCGAAGTGTGGGACTGTGGAAGATATGCTGGCTGGCAGATAAGGGCAAAGGAGGGGCAGGCAGTGGAACCCGAAATGGGCAAGGGGAAGATCGGGACTGTGAAGCTCTGAGCTGGGGGTCAGATTCAGCAGGATTCCAGGAATCGCGAAGTACCGTCAAATGTAAGTCTGCTGTTCACTTTTCCAGTTTTTTTGCCTAATGGAATAGAACCGTATATGGGTAGGTGGCAAAAGTGAAATGCTCAGCTGTTGATGCAGCCTCTGGCCATCAGGGAGTGCAACTGAGTAAAAGTAGCCACCATGGAATATGCCTGATGATCACAGCTACACACAACAAGGGGAAGTACTTCACTCATTTGGAGGAAACTCACCCAAATATTAAAACCATTAGTAGAGATATCTACCCTTCCGGCCAATCCACCCTATACTCGTTTCATCTTCAACATATTTTATGCAAGTAATAAGGTTTAAGACTAAAAACGGAACAAAAGATATAAAGAATTTAGGGTGTTTTTTTTCTTTTATTGATCTGTAGTGTTAGTTTTGGTGTTAAAAACATAAAATGTCCTACTGACAGAATCAGAAACCCCCCCCCTTTTTTTGTTAAAAAGGTCAGAAGTTGTACAAAAGTTTCAATATTTTAATAATATGCAAGTAAAAATAAAAATAGTATATTTCAAAAAATATTCAATTAATAATTTGTTTTCCTAGTTTTACAGGGTCTCTACAGAACATAAGAGACACAAAGTAGAGAGGCAGAAAAGCTAGTCAGCAAGGACTGAGTTTTGGAGTTAAGTGGCAGAAGAGGACCAGGATGATATGAATAACTGATAGAGAGGCAACACAGATTAGAGAATACTGGTCCAAAGGTAGGAGAGCAGGACTCTTAGCTTTGTTCCTAAATAATTATACTTGGCTATGGGCTGTTAGGCAAATTACTTTTCTGTATGTTTTTTTTTTTTTTTTCCCACTCAGAGAATTTAGGAAAATTAATTGGATTTAAAAATTTGTAAAGTATTTTGAACATACTAAGAGGGGTTACGTAAGTAAAAAAGTCTATCAGCTACCTTACTCACAATTTTAATTTTATTAAAAAATCTTTCTCCCAGAGTTACCTTCTGTCACCCTTGCGATTTACAAACGCAGTGAGTATGATTCATTTGGAAAAAGTTTGACTAAATATCCTTATCACAGGGATCATCTTTAAAAATCAAAATTTTAAAATGTCAAATGAAATCTTTAAGTTTAAGATTTTCTCCATCTATTAGGTTTATAAATATACTTTAAAAAGGAAATGTAAAGCTCATATAATGACTTTTATAACATGTTTTAGACCTTTTTCTAAAAAAAGTCCTTAAATAATTCTGTTCAGTTTTCCATTTTTTGTTAAGTTTAATTTAGGTTGCACTTACATCCTAAGAGAGTTATAGATAGAAAATTCTTTTGAAAACAATACAGTTAGAGAGGAAATTATTTCTACAAATCAGACAAAGACACTCACACTTTAAAACCCCACAGTATGTAAGCAGGATGTTCCACATGTTTTCTAGTATTATTTAATTTTCATGTATGTCTTTTTTCCCCAACCAGATCGCAAACTCCATATAAGCAGGGATTATAGATGATGCTATGTACATAAGTGTTCAATACTTTTTTGTTAAATGAATTAATTGCCAAATAAGGTTTTCAAGGAAAATTTCAATCTGGTTAACTTCAGATGAATGAAATTCACAAATACAGGCTGAATTTTAAAAATGTATATATTTAGCAGATAATTCTTTCTTCTACAAAGTTCATGTTAGAAAGGGGGCTTTCTTGAGATTGAGACTCTTGTTGTTTGAACTAATTATAACAATAATAAGAAATTAGCATTAAAGAACATCGCAGACTCCAATTGGTTTTAAGTTTTAGCAAAAAGTCATGTTTCTAGGGATTTAGCAGTCTAGGAACAGTGATTGATTTGAATCTTATTTTGTTTATCAAATGCAAAAATAACCATAAGCTATCTCCCTAAAATGTACAATAAACCCACATATAGAGAGCCATATTAAATTCATGATAATTCTGACATGATTAATATCAATCCACACTAATCTCCCAGTACAGGTTAGTATGACTAGAATGGCTTATTAAATGTATGATTTGTGAACACACAGAAAGTGAATTGGTAATCACTTAGTGGCAGCGTGGGTTCATTAAGAGCTTGCCAGATCATAGAATCATGAAACTAGAGATGGAAGACACATGAAAGATCATCTAGTCCAACCCCGCATGTTACAGATAAGGAAAATGGGGTCCAGTGAGACGAACTCACTTGTCCAAGCTAGGATCCAAACTCTCGTTTTGTGCCTAAAAGGTCAGCATTCTTTCTACTGCATCTCACTGAAGAATTTTACCTTTTTTTTCTTTAGAATAACTAGACCATTAGATCAAGGAACTTTATAAATAGAAAATCTCTAGATTTCAGCAAGGCATTTGATGATGTTTCTCATCATATCCTTGTGCATAAGAAGAGGATAGTTAGGTGGATTCAGAACTGGCTAAATGGTTAGATCCTAAGAAAGGTGATTAACAGATTGATTGGAGGAGACTAGTAGGGTCCCAGAGGATTCTATACTTGATCTTGTTCTTTTCAATGACTTGGGCTAAGGCTTAGATACAATGCTTAGCAAATTTGCAAATGACCATAGGTGGGAAGGATAGCTTATATGTTGTATGACAAAATTTGGGATCCAAAAAAATCTCAATAGGTTGGAATGATGAGCAGAATCATAAAGGATGACATTTTATAGTGTAAAAATACAGGATGGTGGGGGTATGGGGAAAAAAAGTACTTCATGTTTTCTGGAAGCTCAATATGAGTTAATAAATGAGTCAATAATGTTCAATGATTATTGCGACCCCCCAATATAACAAATGAAAAACAATGTTACATTAGGCATAATTAACATAAGCATATCGTTTGAAGCAAGGGAAATAATAGTTCTGCTCTACTCATCTGTAGTTGCGCTCCCTTCTGGGTACCCCATTTTAAGAGAGACATTTAAGAGCTGGAAGTTCACAGGATCAGAGAGACCTTAGAGGCTAGATATATCTAGCTCTGTTCCATTATTTTATATATAAGAACACTGAAGCCCAGAAGGGCTAATTGATTTGTCCAAAGTCATAGCGGCAGGACATGCTGTATTAGGCTGTTCAAAGATATTCAAAGGAAAGCAATCAAGATGGTTAGGAGGAAACAAAACTATGTCATATAGGACATAATCATTTTAATAGATATATGGGCTATGTGAAAGCCCATCTCTCTCTCTCTCCCTCTCTCCTATTCTCCAGTCCTACATCATCAATTGCCTGCTGGACATCTCCACTTGGATGTTCAATTGCCATCTCAAATCAACAAACTGAAAGAGAACTCATTATTTTCCCCCTAAACTACATCCCTTTTTCTAACTTCCCTTTTTCTTTTGAAGGCACTACCATCTTCCCAGTTTCCTGGTTCATAACCTTGGAATCATTTTCAAATATTCCCTCTCCCTTTCCCCAACCAATCGTTTGCCAAGTCTTATCAATTCTACCTCTCTATAACATCTCTTGCATCTGTCTCCTTCTTTCCACTCAGACAGAAACCATCCTAATTCAGGTCCTGGCCACTCTTCATCTGAATTATTGTAATGGTCTTCCAAGGTCTCCCTACCTCAAATCTCCACACTCCACACAGTTGCCAGACTGGTGTTTGCCAGCACAGTTCTGACCATATCACTCCTCTGCTCAAAAAGCCTCAGCTGCTTCCTATTGCTTTGAGAATGGAATACAAACTCCTATGTTTGGCATTTAAGGCCTGTTATAAGCTAGCTCCAATCTGTTACTCCAGACTTATTTCCTGTTGTCCCCCTACCCACTCTATGTTCTAGCCAATCTGGCTTCACTGGTGAGGCCCATAAAGTATGGTCCACCTCTTGCCTCCATGCCTCTCTGCAAAGGCTGCCTCCCATGCCTGTGATGTTCTACCTCTTCATCTCCATCTCTTGGAATCCTAGCTCCTTACAAGTCTCAGCTTGTGCCAGCTCCTCCACAAGGTCCTTCCTTGAATCCTCCGCTGGTTGGCACTTCTGATCTACCCTCTCCCCACCCCCTCCTGGAAAGACTTTACAGCGTTCTTCACATATTTGTGCTTACTTATTTGTGTACCTGTTATTTCCCCCCAGAGAATGTAAGCTTATTGCCTAGCAAGGAAGAGGCACCTAAATGCCTGTTGAATTGAGCTGAATAGAAGGAGCAGGAGATTTACTCTGCATGGCTCCACTGGTCCTAACTGAGACCAGTGTCACAGGGATGCAGTCATATCAATACAAAAAGAATCTGAAAACAAGTAGAGCTGTATGAAACTAGAAAAATTTGCCTTGTGAGGTAGTGAGTTTCTATCACTGTACTTTTTTTAGTAGAGGCTAGAAGACCTCTAAAATTCCTTTTAATTTTATCATACTGCTTCAAGGCTACCACACTTTGACCTTTTCCAGATAGAGGGCAAGAACACAGGAGGCAGAGTTCTGCTGAGGGCACAGACAGAAACTACTAGAATGTAAAAAAGTTATATATTTCTAGCTATTTGATCCTTACTACTAAATGGCCAATCTTATAGCTAGAAATACAACACACAGGAATTTCAGCATATGTAGCCCACATTAACAGGGATGGGAGAGAAGAAAAAAAAAGAGAATGTCAAAATATTGGATTTAATCCAGTAATCAGATCTAAAGAAAAGAAGCTGTGTGGCATAGTAGAAAGAATGTCAGCTCTAGAGCCAAAAGACCTTAGTTCAAAAATTCTGACTTCTCTACTTACCATGTGACTTTGAGCACATTGTTTAACTTTTCTGGGCCCTCAGCTTTCTCACCTGTAAAATGATGGGGCAGCACAGATGATCTCTACAGAACCGTCAAGCACTAAATTTATGACCCTGTAGGTTATGGAATAGGAAAAGCAAGACAGAAGCTGAGCAAACACTATACAAACTTGTCAGATTTTAGTTATATCTCCAAATTGGCTTACTTAGTGGAATCCTTCACTGGCTAGTTGTTATACTGTGACTAAAAGCAATTTAAGAACGAAATAGGTGGCATTAATTTGTGGGAAGAAGACACAGTGGAATATGGCGCAGATTC